TTTCACTCAGGGTTGCCCCCGAGACAGACAGCCCTGGATTCCAATCCTGGCTTCTCCACTTACTGCAACAGTCACTCTGTTTCTTCAAGCCTGTTTCCTCATCTGTAAAATGAGGATGGGAACACTTGCCCCAAAACACTTCATGTGAATCATCAAGGCCTGACACGAGGCTGCTTGAAATCTTCATTCTACTTGGCATGAATATTCATATGTTTCCTTGCAGAAATGTTAATGTGTCTGGTTATGACATGTTGCCCAAATCCCATACATGATATACCATTACACTAACTTTCCTCATGGTTACAACGTGGCTGCCAGCAACATCAGGGACAACATGTTTCCTTGTGCACCTTATTACCTTTCTGAAACCAAAAATATGCTAAGTTCTAAAACACATCCTGTCCCGAGAGTTTAGGGATAAGAGTATGGAGATCTTAGTGTGGCTGAGCTACAATTATTCCAGGGCCTAGTAGGGAAGGTAGAAATCACATGGAATCAAGATTACCCTAGGAAACCAGTACCCCCAATCATTTGCCTTGAGCAATGTGGCTGCTTCTTGAATTTAGCCCCGCAAGAATTGGTCAGCTTGTGTTTCGGGGCCATTTGTATGAAAAATGTTTATCTTTAAACTACCAGACTGCATTCGGCCTGTGACAAATGCTCATGCCAGGAGTCACTGGTGACCTGGGTCAGGCCAGGGTTCCCTGTGTCATGCTCATAGAGGGTGAGTGTGGGTCCTCCTGAGGAAAAATGACGGGCCAATTCCCCCGCACTGGTGAAGTTCTTTTCTGTCTTGTTTCTCTCGTTTTGCAGAGCAGGAAGAAATGGGTCCCTTTTAGTGCGTGTCGAGGGTGTACCCAACGTGGCTGCGGTAGGGATGCGGGGCTGTGAGAGCCCGAGTGAGGAGAGAGTGAATGCAGGTGCCAGCGATGTGGGAGCACCTGAGGTGACAGCTGAGTGGCGCTGTGAGGGGCTGTTACTGAGGATCGTGAGGGGCGCTACTCCGGAAAGGGGCCGCTGAGAGGTGTGTCGCTCCCCCACCCTCCGCCTTCTCGCCTTCGCTTGGGTCCTCTTCCAGCGCCTTCCAGGGGAGAACGCCCGTCTGTGCGGGTCACAAAGGCGCCCGTTCCAGGGGTCCGAGAACTCCCAGACGCGGGGCTGGGGGTGGGTGCAGCGGGGCCGCGCAGCAAGCCTTCGTCTTGGTGCCGTCGGACCCGCAGCGGGGGCTGGCGGCCCCCGGTAAGTTTCACGCCCTGGCGGCCGCGCTTGCCGCTCCACAGCTCCCCCTGCTGGTGGCGGCCCCTCGCCCATTTCCTTTAAGCTGCCTTAAACCTGGAAAATATCATAAGCCCCCTCAATTAAACACAAATAAATTACAATGTGTAAAATAACTTCAAAAAGTACAACAAACTTCCATTTCACCCCCAAAAGATCCCATTTTTAAAAAACATTTTATTTATTCATTTAATTGACAGCGAGAGAGGGAACACAAGCAGAGGGAGTGGGAGAGGGAGAAGCAGGCTTCCCGCCGAGCAGGGAGCCCGATGCGGGGCTCCATCCCAGGATCATGACCTGAGTCGAAGGCAGTCGCTTGACCAACTGAGCCACCCAGGCGCCGCCAAAAGATCCCATTTAAAAAAATAATGTTTTGTGTTTCTGTACCCCTACTTGGCTAGCACCCCAAGGATATCTTTAACTTACTACCAGGTTAGGCAGTCTTGGTTCAGGTTTTACAGGCTCCTCTCTCAGACCTGGCATTTTATAACCCACGTAGTCGTGAGTCTGGCTTTTCCTTTAATGGCAGATTGTGAACATTCAGCAGCAGAGGAGGAACCTGCCTCCCTACCCCAGCTAATTAAATGTTAGTTGGTAAAGGTGATCTCTTCCTTCATTCAAACACTATTTGCTAAGAGCTTATCCTATGCCCCAGACTATAGAGATACTGTAGCGGATTGACGGAGGCCCAGGGCACCGGAGGGCATGTGCCTGAGGGCAGGCTTTGAGTTTCAGCTCTGGAATTGCAAACTCAAATTCCTGCTAGCTCCAGGCAGTTGCAGGGAATGTGGGAATTGGAGAGAGGAGTTAGGTAGGCACTAGGGAGCAGGGAAGTCTGTAGCCAGGAGAGTCAGTACATTGCCCACATTCACATTTTAAAACACTGATTGATAAACAGGATGGAAGGTAGGTTGAACCTGCCCGTAGGCGTCAAGTTTGAAACCCTGGAATGAGAAGGCAGCGAGCCAGGGGCCAGGATACTGGTGGGGCTCTGAAGGCCCAGCTGTGAGAATGGGGGTGAATCTCTCTGTAGGGAACAGAATGAGCCCAGCCCAGTGGGCACAGACAGAGAAAGGCCTATGTTGGTGTCTGGAAGCTGGAGAGAGCCCAGGGGGAGACTGGCTCTGTGTGTGTGAGTGGTATCAGTAAAAATGTGGGAAGTTGATGGTGCCTCCAGCTCCTGGGGAAAAACACAAAACACAAAAACACAACCAAATAACTCAAGGGCAAGATAAACTGATACTTGACAATCCTGATTCACAAACAAGGTAGATTCATCAAACACCTGTTATGTGCTAGGCAGTGTGCTAAGAGCTTTATAAACATTAGTTTATGCTAAGAGGTGGGTGTGAGTATCCCCATTCTACAGATGAGGAGGCTGAGGCTCAGAGAGGTAGAATCACACCATCAGTGATTGTCAGGTTTACTTGAGTCCTGCTTTTAGAGAGGTATAAGGGGTATCACAGATCCACGGAGGTCCAGAAGAGCCCTTGAACATAGAAAAGCTCCTGGGCAATATGAAATTAGAGCTGCATAAAACTCCCGAGTAGAAAGAGGTCCCAAAGTGAGTATCTTTTGCCTAAACCTTATCAGTCAAGTAAATCCTGCTACAGCCTGTATCCCCACCTTGAGCTCTCTTACACACTGACCTTATTGCTTTCTTGCTTTTAAGGAAAATCCAGACTTTTCCAGACTTCTTTGCCATTCACTTCCCACTGGATGCTGCCACCTACCCTAGATCACACACCCTTCTCTGAATACTCCTTTCATCCACTTGCCTCTCAGCCTTTGCCCAGGCAGTTCTCTCTACCCAGAATTCTACCCACTTTTCTTCTCTGCTTGTTGAACTCCTATTCATCCTTCAAAACCCAAATTTAAATTTACCTCCTTCTTTTCCACTATTTTACCCTGGACAGAATTCATACCACCTTGAAGGCTGACTTACCACTGCGTTCCCTAAAGTGTTTAGCACTCACTCAGTAGGGGCTTAGTCTGTGTGCTAAATGGATCTAAGCACTTCGGGCATGAGAACTCATTTGGTTACAAGTGATAGAAAACTCTCAGATTGTTTTAAGAGAATATGTTGATTCATGTAACTGGACATGACCCAGAGGTATCTTCAGGCTTGGTTAAGCCCAGGGGTTTGGATGATGTCCCCAAGTTTCAGTCTCTCACCATTTTGTCTTCTCCATGTTAGCTTTATTCTCAGGCTCCCTGCAGAGGCAAGAAGGTTGCCAGCCACTCCCTACCTCATTCAGTAGGCTCAAGAGCAGCAGGAAACAAAGTCCCTCTCTTCTGAGTGTTCAAGATTAAACCCCACTATTCACTCTGCTGGGACAAGTCAGGGATACGTTCCCATCCCTGACAGGATCACACTGGCAGGAGTTGGGGGGTGGGGTGGGATTATGCAGATCAGCTAGGGATCTGGCACTCTGATTGGCCCTTCCAGAGTCACATGCTCCAATCCGATAGGGAGGGGTGGGGTCAGTCCCAGGGAGAAAAACCTGACCGGGTGGTTTCCCAGAACAAATCCAGGTGTTGTGACCAGGAGCTAGAGGAATGCTGCACACTCCTCAAGCCTTCATAAACGGTTATTACCCTGGACCTTCACCAGATGAAACAACCCATACGATACCATATCATACCAGCCCCTGTTTACTGAGCACTTACTATGTGCCAGGCTCAGTGAGGTGCCTTAAGGCTTCCCAACCTGTGAGGTGCCTTCTAGAACTTCTCTTATTTACCAGAGGAGGAAATGAGGCCCAGAGGATGGAAGGGACTTGCCCAAGGTTAGTAAGTGGAGGAGGAGGAAATTTGTCGAGATCTGATGATTGACACAACTAATACTTTATTTTTTAAAAAAGATTTTATTTGACAGAGAGACAAATAAATAAAATCTTTTATTATTTTTTAAAGATTTTATTTATTTGACAGAGACAAATAAATAAATAAAATCTTTTATTTATTTTTTTTTAAGATTTTATTTATTTGAGGAAGAGGAAGAAGAAGAAGAAGAAAAAGAAGGCGGCTCTTCTCACACCCGGGCATCCATCTGCCGAGTCCTCCACATGCGCCAAAGTGGTGGGAGGAGGAAGGGACTGAAGGTGGGGGGGGGGGGTAAGGGAGAAGGTGCCACTGGGCCCCACACTGCCAGCGGGTGGCTCACACATTGTCTTCCGTTTGCCGCTGTGGACAGGACATTGCAGAGAGAGAGAAGAGCACTCACTGGCTTTGACCTCCCCGGTGTCTGAGCATAGCGAAAGCACAATTCCTTCAAGATGCCGATGGTAGGTATTAGCTCCTGTGTGTGGAACGCTTACTGTGGGTCAGGCACTGTGCTAGCCGCTGGGCACATACTAGCTCATCTAATCCTGACAACAAATCTATATGCACCCATTTTAGAGATGAGAGACTGGAGGCTCAGAAATGTTAAGTGATTCAGCTAAGGTCACACAGCGAGGCCGCCTTTCAGTATGCAATAATGAGGCCCAGCCTCCTCTCTACCCTGGCAACCCAGAGCAGGTTTTCCATGTAACAGATAAGCAGTTGACATCACCCAAGGGTGTTGTTCTTCCACCTCTAGCCCTGCCCCCAGACACCTTCCTGCCCTCTGCCCTTGAGCTGAAATGTAGGCTTCTCTGGTCACCTAACCCGTTGCTCAATGCCTCTCCCCATCTCACCCAGTCAAAGAAGCACAGGAGAAAAAGCTCCGAAACCATCCAGGAACTTTCGGAGAAGGTCAAAGAGCAGCTGGCTGAGGCTGAGCTTCGGAAGCTGAGGCAGCAGTTCAGGAAGATGGTGGAAAGTCGGAAGTCCTTTAACTTCCGCTCCCAGCAGAAGATCTCCAACCAGCAGTAAGCAATGGCCAGAGTTTTATACTGAGTGAACTTGGAGAAAACTTTGGATTTGGTTTCATGCGGTGTGCCTTCTCATGTGGCCTCTGAGCAGGGACCCGATTCTGAACCCAATCTGGGTATCTAGGTGGGATAGCTTCAGTAGCCGGGGTATTTATTCGCAGAATCCAGGCTGTCACCAGGACTCCAAGGGGGGGCACCACACCAAGAGGCCCCCGTGCGTGAATCAATTCCAATCCCAAACTCCCAGGAAAGGGGGAATCTGATTGGCTTAGCTTGGGTCAGGTGTCTAATCCTGGTCCTGGTCCAGTCAGCTGTGGCCAGGGGGCGGGGACTGAGCCTTAGGATACAAAATGGCTCTTGAGTGTCACTCGCATGGTTCTAGCAACCCCGGGTGGGGGAGTTCCCAGAGGAGGGGAAATAATCAGGCTGTGCTATCCCAAAAGATGTTTCCTGCTATGCCTCCTTATGGAATCTGCAAGATCAAATATTTGAAATTTGGTTGTCCTAGAAATTATGATGTGGATAGCTTTTTTAGACAATAGAAAAGTGTTCCCTGGGGTTGAATAAACAAATATCCTTAGATTCCCTCCAAAGGAATGTAATTCCTTAGCTACCTCCATAACGTTTATACAGGCAGAAACTGCCCATTATTAGAAAGAAAATCTTACTGTTTGATGTTATGTGAAGTTCAGAGGATAGGGGAAGCGGGGGCGGTTCAGAGTTTCAATGGATTTAACTCCGACAGTTCCTACGGGATCTTCATGTGCATTAGAAAAAAGCACCCTTTCTCAGGACACTTTACTGCCATCTGTTGGAAACACTGTCATTACCTAGGGATTTTGTTCGAACAAGATGAAGCGTCTCCCAGGAAAGTATAGTAAGTCAAGAAATCAATGATTGCTTTTCAAGCAGACAGAGCTCCCTTGGACAGTGCAGTCCACAACCTGCACATCTGTGCGTGGCAGCCCTGATTCAGAGCCTACCCCTGGTGGGCATCAGGAAAAGCCTCCTTCCTGGTGGGTCTCTGACAGTTTTTCTCGAATCTTACCCTTCATCCTACTTTTACTCCAGTCCATTTGATCTGGTTTCACTGTGATGGACCTGAAGGGGAGGGGTGGAAAAGTGGAGATCTCAGATTCTTCAAGCGAAACACCTGTAAACAGGGGCCAGGACTGAGATGAGCTGAGTGAGTTGCCTAGCATGCAATATTTAAGGAGACACTTTTTCCTCAGTGCTTGTCCTGCACCTGTACCCCCTGAGAGTGAGGGTCTCCTTAAATTTGGGAGCACTTCACTCACAGTCCCAGCCCAGCTGATGAGACAGACAAACCTTCCTTTTGCTTTTACTGAGTCCTCTGAACTCCCAACTCTGGGGGACTCTTGTCCTCTTTTTTTCTCTCCACCTTAACAAAGACCCCCTCCCAAGAGTGGCTTAAGAGGGGGAGAAAGGTCCCAGCTGCCAGATTTAGAAGACAAGTAGCTCTAGAATTAGGGGTACATTCCCACATGGGGCTATTTACATTTGTAGTTGATGAAAGAACATTAAAAATTCAGTTCTTCAGTTGCACTAGCCACATTTCAAGTGCTCAATAGTCTTGATGCCTGGTGGATGCTATCAGAGAGTAGATAGAGAACATTCCCATAATTACAGAAATTCTACTGGACATGGGCACGTGGGGGGCTCAGTCGGTTAAGCATCTGCCTTTGGCTCAGGTCATGATCCCAGGGTCCTGGGATCGAGTCCCGCATCGGGCTCCCTGCTCTGCAGGAAGCCTGCTTCTCCCTCTCCCACTCCCCCTGCTTGTGTTCTCTCTCTCGCTGTGTCTCTGTCAAATAAATAAAATCTTAAAAAAAAAAAAGATTTTATTTAGGGGCGCCTGGGTGGCTCAGTTGGTTAAGCGTCTGCCTTTGGCTCAGGTCATGATCCCAGGGTCCTGGGATCTGGCCCTAAATTGGGCTCCCTGTTCAGCAGGGAGTCTCCTTCTCCCTCTGTGCTCTCTCTCTCCCTCACTCTCTCAAATAAGTAAATCTTTTTTAAAAATGTGCATATGCGTGACTTGAGGATCTTGTCACAAAGCAGATTCTGATTCAATAGGTCCTGGGTTGGGGCCTGAGCTTCTGCGTTTCTCCAAGCTGCCAAAGGATATGTAGTCTGCAGACTGCACTGCCCAGGGCGCTGGGTGCCCAGACTTTGCCAGAAACTCGGCCTCTGCGCCATTTCCCTTTGTTCAGTTGCCGTCTCCTGAGCCTTTTTTCTTTTCAAAAGCCCTGTTTGTCCACACTCCGACCCCTCTCCTCTCCAGAGTAGGGAGAGGGAGAGAGAGGAGACTCCTGTCAGCTGATTTAATAAATCATTAGCACCCTGCGTAGAGAAACTGGGCGAGGTTGGAGGTTACTGCGCATCTCTGTGTTGATGCGAAATTGAAAATGCCTGCCTGATGGGCTTGCTTCTCATTACCAGAGATAATTGGCTGTAAAGTCTGGAAAGAAAGTCAGCAAAATCAGACAGATGCCCGTGAACTGCTGGCAAAAGAGAGGACCTGCCCCCCGTCCCCCCCCCCCCCCCCCCCCCCGTCGCCCCCATCCCGTCTAGGTAATGGGTTTTGACAGGCACAGCTGCAAATTGTTCCCTGGGGAGAAAAGGCCCCCTAGCGAGGGGGCGGAGCCGTGGAGTTGCAGGCGGTCAGAGTTCTGGACCTGGATCAACCCCACCGCCGGCCCCGCCCCAGCCACCTGCCGGGGTGGGTGGTACCTCTCGGTGTCTCCTTGCCAAGGAGCCTAGAGCGGCAGAGCAAGGTAAACTCGGCGGTTCAGGGTTAATCACGCGCTTTCCCCACAGCAAGGAAATCAAGGCCCTGCAGGGAGAGCAGGAAGAGATCACTCTGCTTTTGGGTCTCATCAAGTCCTCGAAGAACTTGGATCTGAATGAGAAGAACTACATGGAGCTGTGTTTCCTGCTGCAGACCAAGGACGACTATGAGGCCCTGATTAAGTCAATGAAAGTGCTGTTGGCAGAACTGGATGAGAAGGTGTGGTCCTTCCCTTAGAGGGTTAACTGGAGCGCAGGGCAAGGGGAGGGGGCGGGGTGGAATGGGGGGAGGGGGTACCCATGATGCCTTAGGCCAGATCTGACACCCCATATTCTAAAGGTGACTGTGCTTACTCTGCCACCTTGTGACCCCTACTCTCCCAGGCCATTCCTCCGCTGTGTTTCCCCAGCACCTCCCCACTCCACTTAGAGTAAATTCCCAAACCCTTACTGTGCCAGTCAGGAGAGGTTAGGTTATGCTGCAGGAACACCCCTGCTCACCACTCAGTGGTTTAAAACAAGAAAGGTTTCTTCCCCATTCATGCTGTCTCTCATGGATTGGCTGTGGGCTCTTCTATCTTCTCATCCTGAGACCAGGCTGATGGGGTATCCACCATCTTGAATATTGCCAGGTGTTGTGATGGAGACAAAGAGAGTTCTGGAAAGTCTCACACTGGCAATTGAATGCTGCAGCCTGGATGTGGCACGTCACTTCTGTCCATGACCCAGAGGCTCAAAACTGTCTACCAAATCCATATATACCCCAACTGCCCATCCCCCAAATAGTCAACTCTATCCATCCGCAAAAGTGTCTAGGAAGTGCGTGTATCCAGAAGGCAAAGAGCTAGAGACATTTGCTGAACAGTGTTAATGGTCCTATCCCTTCCCATGGCTTGAAAGGCCCTGCATGATCTAGCCCCTGCCTGCCCCTCTGTCCTCATCCCATGTCATTCCTTCCTCAACTCATCTAAGCCAGCTGCAGAAGACTTTTTTTTTTTTTTTCAAATATGTGAAAACTGTTCTTACCTCATGTTCCCCTGATCTCTGCTTCTTGCCCTTTATGGCTCAGCCTAAATGTGACTTTCTCAGGGAGGCCTTTTCTATACCCTTTCTCCTGTTTAAAGTATATCCCCCTTGCATTAATTAATAATTGCCAAAAACAAATAGTATGCTCAGTAAGGTACCTTTGAGAAGAGTTTTATGAGGCTGTATTTACAAGGGTGTGAGGACAGAGTAGGAACATTGACGCACTGTAGGGTTAGCTGCAGTGGGCAGGGCAGATACTCTGGAACCTGAAGACAGAGAGCAAACCAGGGGGCATAGATACCCCAACCTCTGTCTTCTCACCCACAGGCCCCCAGTGCAAGGGAGTCATCATGGGATCCTTCCGGATCAGCCTCTTGGGGCCCAGAGCAGGGTGGGTGGAACAGAGTGGAGAGTGAACCTCAGGGGGCAAACAAGATCTCAGCACACTCCCTTAAATCCTTTCATGACACCCCTTGGCACTTCCCTCATAGCACCTCTCCTTGTGGTAATTATACTTTAACACAGGTGTCATCTGTCCATAGTCTGTCACCTCCAGGAGGGCAAGGACCATGTCTGTTTTGTTCCCCTCTCTACCCATCCTGTGCCTATCCCAGTGCCTGGCACATAGTAGGTCCTCAATAAATATTTACTGACTGAAAGAATCTGGAAATCTCATTCCATCTTTCCTCTGCTTCAAACCCTTCAGTAATTTCCTATTGTTCTTGAGATGAGGGCCAAACTCCCCAGTGTGGTTTGTTGGCTCTGCTGCCTTGTGTCCCTCCTGCCCCTCCCACCTTCTCTCCTGCACCCCCCTCCTCTGTTTTCAGTCCACACTGGCCACTTTCATGAACCCATAGTGCTGTCTCTCATTTGCAGGCCTTTGCACCTGCTGTTCCCTCTGCCTGGATTGCCCTTCCCCGTCTTCCCTGCCTGGGGAGCTCCTATTCATCATTCGGGTCTCAGCCCAAATGCTATTTCTGCTGGATGGTTGTCCCTTCATTTCCTCTCCAGATGCTCCTGCTGTCTCTGTCCAAAATACCTTACCTCTCCCTTTTCCCAGGACTAACTGTGCTTCGTAGCTCGTTTCCAGCCCTAGTGTTGAGGTCAGGGACCATCATACTGTCTTGATTGCCTTCATACCCTTAGTTGTCTGGCACAGAGCAGGTGTTTAATAATCATTGATGAATGAATATATGAATGAATGAGAAAGGCAATAACAGTGAAGAAAGTGGAAAATTGAAAAAAATGGGGATGTGGGTCCTCAGAAACAGTAGGAAAAGGCAAGCTACTTTTTTTTTTTTAAAGATTTTATTTATTTATTTGACAGAGAGATAGCGAGAGCAGGAACACAAGCAGGGGGAGTGGGAGAGGGAGAAGCAGGCTTCCTGCCGAGCAGGGAGCCCAATGCGGGACTTGATCCCAGGACCCTGGGATCATGACCTGAGCCGAAGGCAGACGCTTAACGACTGAGCCACCCAGGCGCCCGGCAAGCTACTTTTTAAAAAGGATTTCATTTACTTATTTGTCAGAGAGAGAGAGAGCACAAGCAGGGGGAGTGGCAGGCAGAGGGAGAAGCAGACTCCCCGCAGAGCAAGGAGCCCGATGCGGGGCTCGATCCCAGGACCCCGGGATGATGACCTGAGCTGAAGGCAGACGCTTAACGACTGAGCCACCCAGGCGTCCCAGCTACTTTGGGATCCTCAAAAGAATATGGCACTCACTGCCCTGTACAGAAACCCTCTTTGCCCAGTTCCATCGCAGGGTGGGCAGGTCCCAGAATCCCCTGCGGCCGTGCCCACCACACAACGTCCAGAGCTGCTCCCTTGCAAGAGGTCACTGGAGGCAGGGACCTTACCGGGCCCAGCCTGGCCTCAAAAAGCAGATAAGCCTGTGCCTTTATGCTGAAGAGAGCACCTCACGTAGGCGATGCCCTCCTCCGTCGGCGCAGGCTTGGCTGTGTCTCCCGTCAGGCAGAGGCCTAATTACTCTCCGCGTCACAAGAACAACATCTGACACTAAGGTGCCAAAGGGAATAGGAGGCTGAATTTAATCACAGGAGCAACAGGAAGTGCTGACACACACCTTCCTTCGTCAAGGAGCTGGAACCTGAGGTCTCTGGGTCAACTCAGGGGCGGGCACAAGGAAACGCTGCAGTCTAGAGAGGCTGCCTGCCCATAACACAGAAGAGGAGAACCGAGTAGAACAGGGATCTGACTTGACTTGATCCAAAGCCTGGCTGCTAATATCACTTACACACAGCCTTCACGTGCCTTATGAGATTGTGTGAGACCCAGCGGTTCCCTTGATGCCTGATCATCTGAGCTGCCGTCTTGCTTGATGTACCAGTGAGAATAGATTGGGCTGCAGGTAAAGCAATTCTTGACTAGAAGTGGCTGGAAGAACAGAAGTTTGTTTTTCTCACATAGTAAGATGTCTATCTGGAAAAAGGTCATCCCAGGGATTTTTTAGTAGCTCTGCAATGATAGGTTGGTCTTTTTCTCTCTGATCCTCTTGGTTGGCCCTCCCCTCATGGTCTCAAGATGGCTGCCAAAGCTTAGCTGGTGTAGCTTCTCACATCATTCCATTCAGTGATGTGAAGAAGGGATGAGGGGCTGATTCTTAACATGATATCCACTCTTATGGGGGAGAGACTTTTTCACAAAATCTCTCTAGCTGGTTTTCCTTCATTGGCTAGGGCTAGAGCATATATCTACTTCTAGGCCAATCACTGGCAAAGGGAATGAAGAGACAGACTGTCTCTTCTTATGACGCTTTTTTAGGAAATGAAACTTTTTCTAGAAGCTTCTCTAGCAATCACACCTTCTGAATTCAGAGGCCCCAAGTGGTTTAGTCCAGCTCATCCCTGATGAATAAATCATAGGCAGAGGGGGTAAAGTCACCATGGTTGGTTTGGATCAGTCTTCTGGGGTGGGATGGGTGTTGGGGCAGTCAACCACCCACCATGTCCCCCACAGTTGTGGTTGTTGTCCCCTCTTCCAGCTACCTGGCTCTGGACCACTCTTCTGTCTTCTGCTTGGCATCTCTTGCTGCCTAAATCACCTTTCATCAGTCTACTGTGGTTCCTTCAAGACCTTAAAATATGGGTGTAGACCAAATTGGTGATCTTCAGGACAGATTAAGCCTGACAACATGAAGGCTTTGGCCTGTTCAGTGTTTAACATTTATTTTAATTAGTGTTAACATGTTAAAAATTGAGAGATTTCATGAAAAAAAAAAGTGGATATCTGGCTTCTCTTCAAAAAAAGACTGAAAGATCTGGCAACATTGGGCCTGAATTTCCATGGGGCAACTGTACCTAAATAGTGTCGTAGTGACACAAGAGCTGTTTACCCACTCTCTACTTCTTCCTCTCTAACAGACTCCTAAAGAGCTATGTTTCCCATCCTGCCTTGCAGCTAAGGGGGGACAATAAAATTTAAGGGGAAGTTTGTTGGGGGTATCTGGGAAAGTTTTGCTTTCTAGATTTAGGTTCCACCCTTTTACCCATATTGCTTCTTCCTTCCTTCCTTCCTGGAACATGACTGTGAAGGCTGGTGCTATGGCAGACATTTTTTGACCATCAGGGAAAGGCCAGGTAAATTATAGAGATCTTGTATTTATTTCCATGAGTTACTGAACTTTAAGCCAGCAACGTTTATGGACAGAAAGATAAACCATAATTTGTTTAAGCCATGGGGCACCTGGGTGGCTCAGCCAGTTAAGCATCTGACTCTTACAGCTCAGGTCATGATCTCAGGGTTGTGAGATTGAACCCCTCAGAGGGCTCTGAGCTCAGCGGGGAGTCTGCTTAGGATTCTTTCTCCCTCTTCCCCTCCCCCCAACTCACGCATGCACTCTCTCTAAAATAAATAAATAAATCTTTAAAAAGCCACTGTTCAGTTGCACTTTCTATAATTTGTAGTTGCATCATATAAGCTGCTGCCCCTTAAGGCAGGGTGTGTGTCCTCTAGTTTCCTATACTCTCTACCATCCTGTAGTGTCTTATAGTGCGTCCACTTTACTCTTTTATGTCACCTGCTTGGCCATAGTTTGCAAACTCTAGTATAGATTTTTCTCTCAATGTTCCATGCTCATAGCTGAGACTGTGCTGTATTAGACTTCCTGAAGGTTTGGGGATAAACAAAGGAAACTAAATCTCAGGGATGCTAACACAGGACCCCAGATGAGACTGCTCCCAGAGTTCATTAGCCCAAGCTCAGCACAGGGGTGCCTTGCTCCCAGCTGGAAGCCAGCCTCCATGTAGTTGACAAACTTTATATTTCATTACACCAAGCATTTAACCTGCCTCATGTGGAACTTCTCCATTCCAGAACAGGAGCTGGGCTTCAGACTGTGAATTCAAGCTACTACTTCCAGACAAACAGGGACATATCAAATTGCTTAAAATGACAGTGCCCCCACCCTTCACCCACCAGGGTTCCAAAACAAAGTCTCAGAGCTCAGTCTCAGCCCAAACCCTAAGAAGATAAGGTACCTCTGACACATTAGGACCTGGCACTCACCAGTCTTCACAGGCACTTGTCTTCAGGTAATAGTTCTCTAAACTTCTCTAGAACCTGCTAGGATTTAGCATGAGCCAGCTGCTTCTAGATGGGGCTAACTATTGGGCAGGTAAGCTGGATGGATATCTGCCTGGGTGTGGGCTGAAGCCATACGGCGGGTTGGCAATCACACTGTTGGCGGTGTGAGGAAATGACCCCATCCACTGGTACTTGTATGAAAAACTATAGAGTGAGTTCTCTGGAAAGGTGATGGTGGGTGTGTTTGGGTTTGGAGAACTTGGCCGGAGCTACCAGGGTAGGAAGAAACACCCAAATTCTTTCCTGCCAACCATGGCAAGAGTGTATTTCACTTATTTGAAGTCAGAATCAATTATTCTAAGTGCATGGTGTGTTAGGAATGCTTTTGGCCACAGGTGATGTGAAACCCAACCAAAAGAAGCTTGGACCAAAAGGTGAGTGAAATTCACAAGCACAGGTAAAGCAAAACCTCTAAATTGCCTCATTTTACCCCAAACTGGCTAAGATTAAGTTGAGTTGAGCATGCATTCAAGAAAGAAATTAAAATTCTATTGATAGGAAAAGAAAGAACATTGCAGTTTAATTTTAGCACGCTTACGTTAGTGAACTGTAAAATTTGTACCCATACAGATGTTAATTTAACACAGCTGGGGGTTCTCTCTCTCTCTCTCCTTTTTTTTTTTTTCCAGATTGTTCAGATGGAAAAAAAAATTATAAACCAAAAACAGATCTTCACAAAGATACAGGAAGCCAATGACCCCCGGAAACTGCAGAAGCAGATCCACGTTCTGGAAGCCCGTTTGAATCTCGTACGTAAGGGGTTCGCTGCAGCTTTGCAAACAGCTCTGCCTTCTCTTGCTCAGAGTAGAGAATGATGTCTATGAAGCCTTTAGCAGAACCTACCCATCTTGTTCGTTGACTCAGGAGAAGGTGAACCAGTGGTGTTCACACAAGCCAGGCAGCCTTTTAGACTTCCACCCACCCTGCTCCACCCACTCTGTTCCGCCCACTTGGCCCATTGTTACCCAAGGTGCCTTTCTCCTTGCTCTCTGCACTTTATGCACCATGCTCTTGCCCCCACCCCCTCTATTCCAATCCCCCACCCCTCCTGGGATGCCTATTTTTAGTGCCTTGACTTAGAAACTCTTGCTCATTTTTAAGAAGCAGCTCAAATATCACCCTTCAGCAAGCAGAATTAGTGAGACCTTCTTCCCCCATTGCAATCTGCTCACGCCTCTATTAGACCTAGTGCTTTTTGGTTGTTGTTGATATTGTCTCTAGGAAATATTCAGCATAGACATGCATAACTTGATAAAGAGAAAAGTGGTGTTTCCTAATCACTTTCAATTTATAGTGACCTTTTGCATTAAGGAGGATTCTCTAAATTACAAACTGACTTACACAAAAAAGAGAATGGGTTGGCCATAGAACTGGAAAATTCAGGGGGAAAGTGGGGCCTTCAGGCATAGCTGGATCCAGGTGCTCCAAACATGTCTTGAGGATACTTTCTCTGTCCATCTCTCCTTTGGGTGGAAATGACTTCATTCTTGGGCTGCCCCCAGTGTGAACAAACACCAGCAGAAAAGGACTATCTCTTTTCTAAGAGTTCAATCACAAGTCCCAGGGAGGGTTCCCATTGGGCCATCTTGGGACAAGTGCCCATCCCTCAACCAATCACTGTGCTCAGAAGAATGGAATACATGGACTTGAGTCACATGACTACCCTTGGATTACTCCCCCCTTCCCCAAGTCAAGAGAGGACAGCCCTATCCAACAGTGCGGACTGAGAGCTGAGAAGTGGTAAAAAGCAAAAAGAAAGGAAGAAAGAATGCTGAGCACGTACAAACACATTCCAGTCTGACTTGTGAAATTACAGTTCCCACAACATAAGCCAGGAGAGAGGGCAAGTGAATTGATTTGGAGGGAAGCCTGTCAGTGCCTCACTATACAAAGCTCTTAGCTTCCCCCAAACTCTGACCCCCAGACTTTAACCAGGGATGGCTGAAGTTAATTGGATCTGATCTCTGTTTCCCCAGTAACCTGGAAGTGGACTGAAGGCAGGGCAGTGTCCTTAATATCCATGCACAGTGATTTGCACCCATGCCTCAGAAGGTCTAGGATGTGTGTTAAAATGCAGATTCCTGGTTTTGAGTCAGAATCTGTAATTCTCTTGATTCACTGGTTTTGAATCAGAACCTGTAAGACTTAGACCCAGGCATCTGCACTATTAACAACCCCAGTGAAACTGAAGCTCCCTTGGTTAAAAATCATTAATGCCCAGCACAGTGTGAGGCTTGGAGGAGGTACTTGGCAAACATCTGTTGATTGATTGAATGAATGAATGAAGGAAGGAAGGAACGCATGCATGATTTAATGATGACTTGTCTATAGAGGTCTGCTTTTTTATAATAGATCTATTCAGAGTTTCTATTTCTTCCTGAGTCAATTAAGTAGTTGGTTTCTTTCTAGGAATTTGTCCATTTCATCTAAGTTATCCTAATTTGTTGTTTTACAGTTGTTCTTAGTACATTGCCTTATAATTCTTTTTATTTCTGTAAGGTCTATAGTAATGTCCCCTCTTTCATTTCTGAGAGGAGTGCTGCTCCTTTACTTCTCAAACGGGTCCCCTTTTCCCTGACCAGGTCTGGCCTGTGCCTTTTAGTAGATTAGGTAACCATCTTTAAAGGTTATTTCAGGGTCCCAGAATACCCCATGACCCTAAAGCCTCCTCCACTTACTCAGTGAGGCCTGAAAGTCCTCCCATTTTTATCCCACAATTAGAGGATGGGTAGCATGTCAACAGTCCTGGAGTAAAATTCACACTAAAGAGCGAATGACTGATAACCAATATCTTCTTAAGGGTAAGTGGAAGATACAGAAAGAATAAGAATGATTCTGTTCCTGGATTCCCTTCCCTTGTGTGGTGGCCACTGACACATCCTACAGAGGAACCCAGGGCCAGGACTAGGGTGAGGCCAGTAAAGAGCCCAGGATGCAAAATTTAAGGAGGCACTCACTCTTAGGCTCATGGAAAGGCAGAGTTGACTCTGGGAGAGTGAGTACCTTCTTAAATTTTGCATCCTGGTGGTTTCCCTTGCCTTCCCCCTTCTGAGCCTTGCAGAAACCTAAAGTTTCTCAGAACATGCTTTAAAAACCTCTGATCAAATCTACTTTATATCCATTGGGAATATTTTCTGTCATTGTTTCTTTTCAGTGTCTATGGGAGCACTTTGCATAAAAAACTTTTTATTAAGGTAAATTTATTAAGATGTGCAGAAAGATGGAGGGAATAAAATAATGAACACCCACATACCTATCACTTAGATTTAATAATTGGTAACATTTTACTATATTTGTTTCACCCTTCTTTCCCCTGAAGTATTTTAAGGTAAATTACAGACATCTTGCTATTTCACCCCTAAATTCTATTTGCATCTCTAAAAATCAAACATTTTCTTTCATAGCCACCAAATCATACCACACCTTACAAAATTAATACTATTTCCTTAATATTGCCCACATTAAAATTTCTCTGGCTGGCCCCAAAGTGTCTTTTTAAAGTTGGAGCCAATCAGGTTTCTACCCGATTGTTAGGTCTCTTAAATTTCTTTAGTCAACAGCAGTGGTTCTCAAGCAGAGATGATTTTGCCCCCAAAGGGACATTGTCTCCAAAAAGAGACATTTTTGGTTGTCACAGCTGGGTCGGGGGCTGTGCTGCTGGCATTCAGTAGGTAGAAAGCAGGGATTGCTTCTTTAACACCCCAAAGCACAGGATAACTCCCCACCACGAAGAATCATCCAGCCCCAGAACAGTGCTCTACAACTTTTCCCGGCCATCAACCTGTTAGGAGTCTGGGTCAGCTGTGATACAGAAAGTTCTACCTTCTGGATTTGCCTGATTGTTTCCTTATGGTGTCATTTACCTTTTCCTCTCTCCCCTGCCATTGCTAAAAACCGACAGTTAGGTATAAAAGAGCTTGAGACATTTAAAATCCAGGGGCTGGCGGGGAAGGAACCTTGCACAAGACCACTTAGCTATTTGGTGGCCAACTCAAGCCTCTCACCCAGCGCCTCAGCCGCTGTGCTGTGGACCTGCGGCTGGAGGTGGGAGGGACCTTCCCACCTTCTGGCTGCCTTCTGGAAGCCTGTCTCGTGCCCCAGGAGTGAGCTCAGTTTTGAAGCATAGCCCTGCCCACAGGTCACCGTGCACTTCGACAAGATGCTGACCACCAATGCTAAGCTCCGGAAGGAGATTGAGGACCTGCGGTACGAGAAGGCTGCTTACGACAATGCGTACCAACAGCTCCAGCGCCGCTTGTTGATGCAGAAGAAAACCATGAATGTGGCCATTGAGCAGTCTGCCCAGGCCTATGAGCAGAGGTGGGCTGGGCGGAGACCCTAGGGGCAGATACGTCTCTTGGCCCCCTGCTGAGCACCTCTGCCCCTGGGCTTATGTCTAGAGGGATCTTAAATCATCATCATCACTCTGAGCACTGACTGTGTGCCCACCATGATGCTAGGTGCTCTGAGTATTATTTCAACCCTCACAACTGTCCCAGGGGTTATATCCCTATTTTATTACAGACCAGGATACGAAGGCTTAGAGCTGCCGAAATACTCAACCTGAGAGCTAGGTAAACGGTGGATGTGGTAGGGCTGAGATTCAAACCGCTCTGCTGTGCCGTCTCCTCTGGGTGCCCCTGCCTCTAGTCCTGGGGTCTCTCAGTCTGGGTTATCTCCTGGCCTCATACTCGTAGGGGCAAGAGGCATATAGTTGGGCTGTGAAGAGCATAGGTTTTGGAGTTGAAGAGATTGGGGTTTGAATCCTGGCTCCATCACTACTCTGTTATTATAGGACCGCTTTGGGGGTTAGTGAGGATTAAATAGTATATGTATGTAAGGACTGGCTGGGCCACAGTAATTGACAAGTGCTGATAATGATGAGGTGGTGGTGGTGATGGTGGTGGTGGTGATGGTCATGGTGGTGGTGGAGGTGATGGTGGTGGTGGAGGTGATGGTGGTGGTGGAGGTGATGGTGGTGGTGGAGGTGGTGGTGGAGGTGCTGGTCATGGTGGTGGTGGAGGTGATGGTGGTGGTGGAGGTGATGGTGGTGGTGGAGGTGGTGGTGGTGGTGGAGGTGCTGGTCATGGTGGTGGAGGTGATGGTGGTGGTGGAGGTTGCTGGTCATGGTGGTGGTGGAGGTGATGGTGGTGGTGGAGGTGCTGGTCATGGTGGTGGTGGAGGTGATGGTGGTGGTGGAGGTGCTGGTCATGGTGGTGGTGGAGGTGATGGTGGTGGTGGTCGTGGTGGTGGTGGTGATGGTCGTGGTGATGGCGATGGTGGTGATAACGATGGTGGTCGTGGTGGTGGTCATGGTGGTGGCGATGATGATGATAGAACGATCTGTTCCTGGGGATGGTCTAGAGCTGGCAGCTCCTGTCATTCAGGTAAGGAGGGCTGTTCATCCGCTCCAGAGCCTCCATGCATAAGAAAAGTGATAGTCACTGGCAGCAAGTCCCTCTGGTCTGGCAGGGAGAGGGGAGGGGGAGAGGGAGCCTCTGTGCACTCAGACCCTGCACCGCCTCGCTCAGGCTGGAAGCCACGGCTCGCATGGCTGCCATGAAGGACCGCCAGCAGAAGGACATTTCTCAGTACAACCAGGAGATCCGAGAGCTGGAGCGTGTCTATGCCCACGAGACCAAGCTCAAGTCCTTCTTGCTTATCAAACTGAATGACCGTCTGGAGTTCGAGGAGCAGGCCAAAAAGGAAGAAGGTACACTCTCCAGGCATTCTTTCTGGCTCCCTCTCAACTGAGGGGGCCCAAGGCCTTCTGGAGTAGGGTTGCCAAATTTAGCAAGTAACATTACAAGATGTCTAGTTAAATTTAAATTTTAGATAAACAGCGAATAAATTTTTAAAATGAAATAAGTTATTTGTTGGTTATCGGCAATTAGGACACGATGATACTTGAAAAAAATACACGGTTCGTCTGAAATTCAAATTTAACTGGGCGTCCTGTATTTTATCTGCCAATCCTAACCCAGAGGCTGCATCCTTACTCTGAGGCTCCTCTTCCATTGTTTGGGGGAGGAGACTTGGGTGTCGGGTCCCCAGAACTACCCCCCAGGTTTGGTGATCCGCTGGGAGGATTCATAAGATTCAGCATGTAGTGACATGCATGACTAGGCAGTCGGGACACAAAGCACACGCAAGCAAAGAGGAAAGGCACATGGGGGCACAGTCTGGAGGAAACCAGGCACAAGCTTCCAGAATCTTCTCCCAGGGCAGTCACACAGGACATGCTTAATTCCCCTAGCATCTCCCTGTGACATGTATGAAGAGGTATCTACTAGGGGAGCTCATTAGAGCCTCAGTGCCCAAGATCTCACTGGGCGCTGGTCACCTAGGGGTCCTCTCCCTGGCGTACCCCAATTCCAGCCTCCTGGAAGGAAAGCAGGTGTTCGGCATGAACCACACACACACCATCTCTATGGCCTAGGCACAGTGAGGTGCTCCTAGCGTTTAGGGAAAGTCTGATATCCGTGTAGGGAACTGTTTACCATCTAAGTGTCCAGGTACGGCCATGCGCCAACCTTGCGAGAAGAGCCCTTTCTGTGGGGAACAGTCTCAGGGCTGTTATTTTTACTCTCCCCTGAACAGACTGAAAAATCTGAGCTCTTTGGAGGAAACGACCGCCCCCCCCCCCGCCCCCCCACACCGGGTGACTGCATTTGTGCTTTGGGCTTTTGGCATTTCCCATCTCCTCCTGCCTTTTCATTTGGGACTGTGGTTGCAAAGTGTGTTTCTGAGAAACCCCACATCTCACTCTCTAAATAACAACAGGTAAACAAGTCACATGGCCAGATGTGCCTAGGAAGATCTAAAAAGATCTTTGTGATGGCCATTTGGAGGTTAAATCAGAGACAAGACTGAGTTCAGGAAATGTGGGGCTGTGGCAGGCATCATGTGGGAGAGAACAAAGCTTGGAGAACTTTCTTGGTTCTAATTCCTTGAATTTGCCAAGGTCCGAGCCTGCCACCAGGTTCCCTTGAGCTTCACCCCGCTCAAATGTCACCTCGTTCGAGAGGCCTTCCCTGGCCACGCAGCTCCCCCATCACAGCATCTGATGCTGCTCCTCTGTGACCTGAGCCACAGTGTGGTGATGTACTTCTGTTTACGCGGGTATCTCCTTTTCTTTCCTCTTTTTGTCTGATTCCTCCATTAAACACTCCATGGGGCAGGGATTTTGTGTCTGCAGAGCCCAGCACAGCGTCTGGCACCTAGTAGATGCTCAATTAAATATCTGTGAAGCGACTAAGGAGTAATGCGTTTGCCCCCACTCCTGGAAAAGTCTAGCCTCCTCCCCAGGGCACAGTGACAATATTATGGAGCATGTCTCCCTGTCTGGCACTGCTCTGAGCAGCTTCCTTTCGGATTCACGGTTGCTGGCTTTTCCTTCCTAGCTCTCAAGGCAAAGAAGCACAGGAAGAAGGGCAAGGGTGAGAGTTTCGAGAGCTATGAGGTGGCCCACCTCCGGCTGCTGAAGCTGACCAAGGATGGGAACCTGAATCAGCTCATCGAGGACTTTCTGGCCAAGGAGGAGAAGAACTTCGCTCGGTTCACGTATGTCACAGAGCTCAACAATGACATGGAGACAATGCACAAGAAGACCCAGAAAATCCAGGTGGGGGCGGCTCTTCTTTCCTATAGGCCTGGGACGCACACACCCCCACCGCAGCCTTTCTCAAAGCGGGTTCCTCAAAGCACACCTTGAGATACCCTGTAAAGAGGGCCTCGAGGTCTAATCGGTTTGGGAAACACTATATTTCTTCAGGGATCCCCCCTTCATTTTAACCTTTCTGAAATTGGTATTTGTCTTCCAACTGACACAAACATGTAATGTGGTCCTGCCCCCACACCCCCAATAGTGACATTTATAATCCGTGGCATGTTCCATAATCCAGGGTTCAGTAAACTAGCCATGGTCTGATACAGCCTGTGGTTGGTTTTTGTATAGGCCATGAGCTAAGAATGGTTTTTATACGTTTAAAGGGTTAAAAGAAAAAAAAAGAGGATATACACAAGAGAGATCATATGTGGCCTGCAATGCCTAAAATATCTATCTGGCCCTTTGCCTTAAGAGCTTGCTGACTCCTGTTAATCAACAGCTTCACAGAATTGAGGAGAGATGGTCAATCCACCTTGAAGAGAATTGATGTACTTGAGCATCATAAAGGCTCTGACAAGTCCCGCAGTGAAGAAACCTATTTACCTTTGTTGAGTCCATAATTTCCCAAACTTAATTGGCTCCTTGGGCTACTTACTTCCCAGAACACACACAAACAGCCTTTGGAACTGTCTGCATAGCATAGAATCTAAACTCCTTAGTGTGACACTCAGGCCCCTTCAAAACTTGGCTTCAATCTGCCTTGGCAGGTTCACCTCCCCTCATGACCCCAAAGGCACCCTCCACAGCTGCCAGTCTCAGCTGTCCTCTGAGGCTTTCCTTGTGTCCCCACCTCCTGCTTTTCTTCTGATGAAATACTGCTCATTAGTCCTGACCGTGCACAAATGTCACCACCACTGGGAATTCATTACTCCTCCCTTGGAGGTCCCTGTGCTGTTTGTATGGTGAAGGGAGCCACTTCCTTTTGCAGCGTCACTGTTTCCTGAATACGGAGCAGGTGCATTGGCCATGTGCAAATAGCTAGTAGCCCGAACACAGGTGCAAACATTTTAATTTACTAGTTGCGAGTTAATTTTTATGAGGATTAAGACAAATATAGTTTGCAAACTAGTGATTTAATCACTTAGGGTGATAAGTAATAATAACAGTAAACAAATAATGATAAACATAAAATGAACACAATCTGGCTGATTGAAAGAAAACTATTAATAGACAATAATAGAGTGATAGGTAATAATCATACAGGTGACACGCAAACATGATAGGAATGAAGGTGGTGGTATCAGGGTGGTCATGGGAAGCAGATGGCATGCCCCAACTGGGTAAATAGAGGTGGGTTTTTTAAAAAGGGACTATTTACAAAGGTTTAAGGAAACTACAAGGGGAAAGTGCAGGACCAGCGAGAGAGGGCTCCAGAATAGGTGAGAGGAAGGAGCTGTTTCTGGAATCAGGAATGAGGTGTGTGGAGGAGGGTGTCTCTGTGTCTCTCCCGGAGGGATTGTGGCCAAGCTAGTGACCTGCCAAGTTCGGTGGGTGAGGAGGGCAAGCACCCCCAACCTCTTTCCACCCACTAATCTCCAGCTGGTGCCTCCCTTGGGTGCAACCCAAGCCAGGGGACAAGGGAGCCCAGAGCCGTAGCCCCTGGGGTCTGCGGCAGAGGGTGGGGAAGAGAGGCAGGTGGATTTGGGGAGAAATGGAGCATGTCCAGCTCAGTGTGTGTAGAGGAGGTGGGGGGTGGGGGTGGGGAGATGAGCTTGAACAGCCCTCTGTCTCCCTTCTGGAAGGTGATCTTCCAGGGGACAGTCACAATTGTGTATTCCCTCTGCTTTCCTGATTGATGCCCAGGATGGCCCTGCACACAGTGGGAGGCACCAGGAAATGGCCCCAAAACAATAATTGGCTTTGACCTTGCCGTTCACCATGAGGATGGTGTCCTCCTCTCCTTCAGCCACACAGACTGTCTCTGTCAGCACCAGTGTGTCTGATGACAGATGGCCACTCCTGCCCTGTCTGGCTTCATTCTCCACATCTGTAGAATGACCTACTTGGACTAGAGCAGGACTTTCCCAACTTTTGTAAAATAATAATAATAATAATAAAATAAAATAAAATAAAGCTACAGAACATCTTCATTTAAAGTCAGGTTGTGAGGAAACACGGTAGAGAAAACAGGTAAAACGGAGCAGTTTTGGATGAGCGGGGTGGGGTGTGGGAGGGGTGGCTGGACCCTTACCTTCTTGTCTTCTTGTGGCACCTCTGCGCAAACTAGGGCTCAGGTAAGAAAAATATATAAATCCAAAACAATTAGGATTCTAACAACTGACTTCACCCCTTCTGGAGAGAGCGCCGGGGTCAGAGGTCGTAACTGGTTGAATCCTGCTCTCATTGTTCTTTTGCTTGGTCTCCCCTTCCCCCCCCCCCCCATTTTAAAAATTATTAGTTGCCAACATTTAAAAATCAGGATATTCCACATGAACACCTGGATTTCTGGTTTCTCTTGGAAAATCCGATCTGACGACTCTGGCCCCGCAGCCTCCACTCTAAGCTGAAGGCCCCTGGCTCACATCCACCCGCACCAGCTGGGTCGGATCCGCTCTTGTGTCCCAGGCCGGCTGGGCCCTGCCAGCCTTTGGAGCTTCTGCCTCCGGTGTAGGTGCTTCGCCACTGCCCTCAGGTGGCCATCTTCAGTGTTGCATGGGAAATCTTTGGACGCGGAGATCTGAAGGATGGAAGGATGGGTGGTCCATTCAGGACCTGGGAATTGGGCAGGTCATTTTCTAGCAGACAGCACCTTCCTAGTCCCAGGGGGATGACAGGGACAGACCATAGCAGAGGGATGTGAGGATGCTAGTCAGAAACTGACCCAATCAAGAAATGGTTACTAAACAAAATTGACCTTGATCTTTCCCATTTACCATGATGGTCTCCTCTCTCTAGGCTACACAGCCTATCTCTGGCCTTAGCATGAGTGTATCTGATGAAGGATAGGCAAGCCCATGATCACCCTGGGCTTCAGGCTCTCCTTTAGTAGAATGATGTTCAGACCAGAACAGTAGCTTCTGAGCTTTTCTTTGAAGTTATAGAACTGTGTCTTTTGGGACTTAATACAGCAGCAAATGCCTGCTGAATAATTCCTGAAAACACTCGTTTCTAGTGAAAATGCTTATATTTTAAAAATCTTGTAAGAGAAGGATATGCTCATTATAGAAAATTTGGAAACTACTTAAGGATTGAATTTTTTAAATCACCCATTTTCCCATTCCCTAGGGATAGTCATTGTTGGTATTTTGATCTATTTCCTTCTGACTTCTTTTTTTGGGGGGGGTGTGATGCTTTTAAAACTTCACATAGTGATTATCCTATAGTATATAGAGAGCTACCTATTCTTTTTCTTAAGATTTTATTTATCTGAGTGAGAGAGAAAAGCAGGCTCCCCTCTGGGCAGGGAGCCTGATGCAGGGCTCAATCCCAGGGTCCTGGGATCAAGACCTGAGCCGAAGGCAGATGCTTAGTCGACTGAGCCACCTAGGCACCCCAGGAGTTACATGTTCTGATTGCAAAAAATGTTCTTTTGGTTTTGTTTATCCAGCAAGTATTTATTGAGCACCTACTATGTGCCAGGCACTATTCTAGACACTGATTATGGCACAGTGAACAAAATGACAAAAAGTTCTGCCTGCTTGGAGCTTCTATTCTGGCAGAGGGAAACAATAAACAATAAGCCTAATAAATACATAAATTATAGAGTATATTAAAAAGTGAAAAGTGGTGTGGATAAAAAGAAAAAGTTCGGCAGGTAAAGAGGGGTTCTGGAGCCAAATGAGGGCATGGGAAGTTGAAAAGCTAAGATCTGAGCAGACTTGTAGGTGAGGGAATAAGCAATGCAGATCTCTGGGGGATGAATGTTCCAGGCAGAAGAAACAGCAAGTGCAAAGGTCCTGACTCAGGAAAGGTGCCCATTTATAGTACTGGGACCATTCTAGACTGTTCATACTGTTTTGAAACTTTCCCCCCGCCAAAATTCATCATAGACACCTCCCAACATCATCTATGTTCTTTTTAATGGCTTCTGGAGACCCTGGATGCTCTGTAGTAGAATCATAAGCTACTTCTTAAAAACGCAGATTCCCCAAATTCTATCCCATACTTACAAACCTAGATTCTCTGCGAATGGGCTAGGAATCTGAATTTTTAACCGTATTTTTATTTGAGACCCATTCCCCTCATGATATGAATGTGCCATCATTGATCTAACTGATTCACTATCAGTAGACATTTAGGTTGTCTCTAACTGGGGGTCATTATAAGTAATAACATGACAGACAGCCTTGAGCAGCCACTTTGCCCACATGTCCTACTATTTCCATGGGACAGATTCCTAGAGATGAAATTACTCAAAAGGTAGCCTTTTCTATTTGGACACATTGTTCTAGCCCTAGGGGTTCTTGCATCTGGTCCCTGGAGCAACAGTAGCAGCAGCTCCCGGGGACTTTTGGGAAATGCACATTCCTGGGCCCCACCCAGAACTACCAGCCCAGAACCTCTGGGACAGGGGCCCAGCAATCTATGTTTTCACAAACCTCCAGATGGTTCTGATTCATGCTAGAATTTGATAACCCCTGCTCTGGAGCTGCCTTGCGTCCATTATAGTAGCACTAGCCATGTGTGGCTATTTAAGTGTAAATTCATTTAAATTAAGTAAAACTGAAAATTAGTTCCTCGGTGGCACTAGCCACACTTCGAGTGCTCAGCACCTATGAGGGGCTGGTGGCTGCAGGACTGGGTGGTGCTGAGATAACTCTGCCACCATTACCGTTCTATTGACTGTGCTGTTCTAGACAATTCTCCAAAAAGGATGAACCTCCCACCCACCCATGCCCTCATCCTCCTTTTAATTAAGAAACATCAGGGGCACCTGGGTGCACAGTCATTTAAGCGTCCGACTCTTGATTTCGGCTCAGGTCGTGATCTCAGGGTCCTGGGTTTGAGACCTGAGTCACATTGGACTCTGCGCTCAGTGGGGAGTCTGCTTGAGATTCTCTCTCTCTCCATCTGCCCTTCCTCTCTCTCTCTCTTTCTAAAATAAAAATAAATAAACCTTAAAAAAAAAAAGAGAAAGACATCAGAAAGAAGAGGGGCATAAGAGGGGCCCAGGGATTTGGGGGCTCTCGAAACAGATAATTTAAATCCTCATCATCTCCTCAAGGCACAGGCTTAGTTTTAGGTGTGGTGGGAGGGGAGCACCCACTTTTCCTTATGGTCTGGTTCTCTCATGAACAGGATGAGATCATCTTCTTGCGATCCCAGCAGAACTCATCCCATGATGACAACCACTCTGTCCTGAGAGAGATGGAGGTAAGACCGGGGTGGGGAGGGAGGGACATGGGAGTCTCTGTTGTCTGTCTGTCTGTTCATCAGGCAGCCTGTCTGGTGGTTCTCGAGAGGAGAATATGGTATCTGCCTGATGAGACTCTATTGGCCTGGCTCGTGTATTGACATGTCCTGAGCCTTTGTCTCGGGCCACCTCCGCTATAAATATTGCTGCAGAGTTTTGTCCCTATAGCCTCTTTGTCCATTTTAAAGACTCCCCGACTTCAGGGAGCCTAGCCCAGGCACTTGTGCCTATAACTTCGTCCCAGACAGAGCTCTGCCTCAGTATTTTTTTTTCTCTCCTCCTTGTCTGGCTGTGGCCTGCTCTCAATCAATAAGTTATTATGAACATTTGTTGAACAATTACTACATATCAGACACTGAGCTAAGCGCCTTGCTTGTACTATCTCATTTAATCCTCACAACAGTCCTATGAAGTAGGTGCTATGATCTCTACATTGTACAGATGAGGAAACTGAGGTTCAGAGAGGTAAAGTCACTTGACCAACTATGGAGCTGGGATGCTGTATAAGAGCTTTGCATTGTATTTAGTTGCTAATCACAAGGAATCAAAGTAACAATGGCTTAAGCAAGGTAGAATTATTTACTTTGTTAGGAAATAAGGTTGGAGGGGCGCCTGGGTGGCTCAGTTGTTAAGCGTCTGCCTTCGGCTCAGGTCATGATCCCAGGGTTCTGGGATCGAGCCCCGCATCCGGCTCCCTGCTCGGTGGGAGGCCTGCTTCTCCCTCTCCCACTCTCTCTGCTTGTGTTCCCTCTCTAGCTGTCTCCTTCTCTGTCAAATAAATAAATAAAATCTTAAAAAAAAAAAAAAAGAAAAGTTTGGAGATAGGTCCTTCAGGGCTGGTCATGATGTCATCAGTGACCCAGGCTCCTCCTGTTTGCCATCTTTGGTGTGTGGCTTACATTCCCAAGGATGCCTCATGGTTGTATTGTAGCTGCCAATGATCCAGCCATCCCATATATGTTCCAGGCAGGAAGAAAGTCAGGGAGGCAAAAACAACTTTGCTGACTGTTGGGCAGCTTAAAAGTTTCTTTCCGTGAAGACTCAGTCAACGCCTTCTGAGTTTACATCTCACTGGCCATCTCTATTGCAGAGGAGGATTGGAAATAGAACTTCAGCTGGGCACATTGCCACCCCAAATACAATCAGGAGTTTGTTGTTAAGGTGTAAGCGGAGAATGGATAGCAAACGTCTGACAAAGATATGAACCCAGAGAGTGTGACCACACAGCCCTGCTCTAATCCAGTAGTTCCGGCCCAGGAACTGCGCTCCTGGGTCATTATCCTTTCCTTCTCTGTGACATATTTTTTTCTTTGTTGGCATGCACCTGGTTACCGGGATGGCAGTGCCATTCTCTGGTAGGCCACTGGGGGGCAGCAAAGCACAAGGCACCCATTTTGCCCCTCTGGCTCAGAGAGGCCTCTCCCGGGAATTAAACTTCCAAGCAGGTCCCCAGTCCAAGGAGACCCTCCTCAAGCTGAGCACGTGCTTGGGGTCCCATGTCCTCAGCTCAGGGCCATCCAGTGTCCAGATGCTTCCTTGGGGCTGGGACTGGTGCCGTTCTGCATCTCGGGGTTTGGAAGGCCTCAAAAGGGGCACCTTGGGGAGGCTGGTGGAGCAGCCTCCAACACCTCCCCCACCTCTGAAGTCCTTCCATCCCCTCTTTGTTCTTTTGGTTGTAGCATGACTTCTGGAGGCCTCTTTTCAAATGCAAATACTCCAAACAGGAGAATTTGTCTTAAAAGCAATGGGATCACAAGAGCCCTTGTTTCTTACCCCCTGCTAAAGATCGTTTACCTCCGTTCTAGTCTTGGAACCTTTCCACACACCTTCCATTCCATCATCTTCTGCCCCTCTGGGAGTAGTGGTGTCACCTGTCCTTTAACAGGAGGGTTTTGCATAAGAGTTTGGCAGCCAGGCCCTGGGAACAAACGCTTGGGTCTGATGCCCTCGCATCAGGCTCTCCGTTTAACCACGGGATCCCCTCACGCACCTGTAGGTGAGACGGCAGATCTTGCCACCACCGGAGGTCTCTCGGCCCCGGGCGCTGGGCACAGAGGAAGCTGCTGGGCGTGGCGGCTGAGTGACAGTCCAGATCTTGGCTTCCCTCTCCGGGCTGTGTGCTTTGGAACCTCCGTTTCCTCACCTGGAAAATGGGGGGTGTGGATAGGACTGACCCTTTGGGACTGTTATTTGGGATGATGCATATGGAGCCACGGGGAACAGCTCCTCACAGGGCCGGGTTCACCTCTAAAATTCCTGAGGCCCGGAATCTCTGAGGCTGGGGCCAAGGCAGCAGGTGTTTTGAAGTTTCCAGGTGATACCAATGGGCAGCCAAGATCCAGTGGACTTGCAGGGTTTCTCAAACTTCACCGTGCATCACAGTCTCCTGGAGGTTCATTAAAACACACGTTGCCAGGTCCATCCCCAGAGCCTCTGAATCAGGGTCTGGACTGGAGCCCAAGAATTTACATTTCGAACAAGTTGCCTGGTAAAGCCGATACTCTTGGTCCTGGGACCCCACTTTGAGAACCGCTGGGCTAGCGTGATGTGTTTTAAACTGCAAGTGGTAAAATCAGTTCGTCGGATCAAACCAGCATTTAAAAATAATGAAACAGAACAGAAAAGATGAAAACACGCAGTGAGAGTATTGATTTGTGAAACTTGCACTTCATTTGATTAGATAATACACGTGAACACACACCCATGGGCACACGTCTGTATGTATGTATGCATACATTGGGCTGCAATGTAAAATGTATTCCTTCCTGTGGGCCACAACGTTAAAAAAGTGAATCACCAGCTTCTAAGAGATATTGTAATCCTGGGGCGCCTGGGTGGCTCAGTCAGTTCAGCATCTGACTCTTGGTCTCAGCTCAGGTCTTGATCTCAGGATTGTGAGTTCAAGCCCCACTTTGGGCCAATGCTCGGTGTGGAACCTATTTAAAATAAAATTAAAAGTTATAGCAATTCAGTACACATATAGACACATGTACATATATGTAAGTGAAACAAAATGTACATTTAACAATATTTCCCCTCTTTACCTGTAATGCATATTAGTATTTGCTCTTCCTTTCTTTTCTGTTCTATTTATTTTCTTTCTTTAAAATGCTGATTGAGGCTTATAAGTTGATTTGGCACCCCCTGAGAGGTTTGAAAATCTGTAGTTCAGAGACCCTGTTTCCAGGGGGTCCCAAACTCCCACTGGCACAGAAGGTCCTCATTGGGGGTGGGGGGCTGAGCCCGGGGTGGCAGTCTGGCTGATGCGAGGTGGGAATTGGGGTCTGTTACCAGGAGAAACTGAAGAAGACCACAGAGGAGGCAGATAGGTATGAGAACAGCTACAAGGAAATCAGCAAGACCTTGGAGTATCTCAAGAACTCAGTGAAGAATCTGTTTAAAAAGATTAATTGTGATGCCACCACAATCCTGGGGCACTTAGGGGAGACGGGGAAAATCACGGACAACAACCTTCCACAGTACTTTGGTGAGTCAAGCTGGGGCCCGTTGGACCATTAGGAACCATTTCCAGAGCTTTCTATGAGCAGGCACGAGGACTTGTTCTTTGGGTGGTGGTGAGCCTAGTGGTGAAGCATGTGGGCACTAACGCTGGCCTGCCTGGGTTCAAATCCTGGTCCTCCTCTTACTAGTCGTGTGCCGTTGGGCAACTTTTTGAACCTCTCCATGCTTTAGTTTTTTCATCCAAAAAAAAAAAAAAATTGAGGAGTAAACCTAACACCTACCTCATAAGATTGTTGGGAAGATTAAATAAAATTTAATTTTAGTAAAACTTCATGATCATATCAATAGAGACAGAAGCATTTGACAAATTCAACATCCATTCATGAAAGACTCTCCACAAACTAGAACTGGAAGGAAACTTGCTTAACCTTGAAGGGTGTCTACAAAACACCTACAGTTAGGGGCGCCTGGGTGGCTCAGGTGGTTAAGTGTCCACCTTCAGTTCAGGTCATGATCCTGGGCTCCTGGGATCAAGCCCCACATAGGGCTCCCTGCTCAGCAGGGAGTCAGCTATCTCCTCTCCCTCTGCCCCTCCCCCCTGCTTGTGCTCTCTCTCTTTCTCTTAAACAAACAAACCTACAGCTAACCTCACCCTTGAGGGTGAAAAATTGAATGTTTTCCCTCTAAGATCAGGAACAAGGCAAGAATGTTTGCTCTCACTGCTCCTATTCAATATCATAGTGATGGTCCTAAGCAATACAATAAGGCAAGAAAAAGAAATGAAAAGCATACAGGTTGGAAAGGAAGAAATAAAGTGCTCGGAGCAGTGCCTGGCATGTAGCAAATGCCTATTTCACACATTTCTAGCCATAAGCCTGAGCTCAGGATAGAGCAGGAGGGATGCACCTCCACAGATCAGGACAATTTGGAATGAACAGCTTGTACAGCTCTTAGAATAAAACCTATGGTTCTTAATACCATCTGTGTTTGGGAGTTTCCCATGATGCCCCCTCCTGCCAGGTTCAGTGATTTGCTAGGAGGGCTCACAGACTCAGCATATGGTGGTACTTGGGGCTATGATTTGTTACAGCAAAAGGATAAAAAGCAACATCAGCAAAAGGAAAAAGGAGCCTGGAGTGAAGTCTGGAGGAAGCCAGGAGCAAGCTTCCAAGGGTCCTCTCCCAGTGGGGTCACACAGGATGTGCTTAATTCCCCCAGCATTGAGTTGTGACAACATAGCTGAAATGTTGTCAACCAGGGAAGCTCGTTAGAGACACTGTGCCCAGGGTGTGGGAAAAAACAGGTGTTTAGCAGAAACACGTTTTGTATACACAGTTTAGGCACACTGAGCTGCTATTATCAGTTAATGATGATAGGAACCTTCCTGAAACCCAAGTTCCCCGATGCCAGCCTGGTGCCAACCTGGGAAGCAGGCCTTTCAAAGAAGAGGGCACGTATTGCATGGAGCACTGGGTGTTATACGCTAACAATGAATCATGGAACACTACATCAAAAACTAACGATGTAATGTATGGTGATTAACATAATAAAATTAAAAAAAAGAAGATCAGTCAGGACTGCTGTGTTAACTCCTTCCTGACAGCCTATCAGGTTCTGCACAGCCTGGCCCCTGCTTCCATTTCTCAACTCCCTCGTCCTACTCTCTGTCCTTGCTTACCACTTCAAGTCACACTCTCCTATGTATTCTTGCAACCCTCCCCTCAACACATTCCCACCTCAGGGCCTTTGCACAAGCTGTTCCTGGAATCCTTGTCCCAGTTCCTCCTCATTCTCAGATGTCAGTTTAAATGTCCTTTCTCTAGCAAGGCTTCCCTCCGCTGCCCGACCTGTAGCTGGTCTCCCCTCCACACACACTATTATTCCCTGTCATGGCAGCCCCTTTATGTAGCAGTCACCCAGTTTGTCTCCATGTACAGGTGAATCTATGAGGTTTTCGAGATCTGATAGCAAGTTCCAGATGCAAATATTTTTGGTTCCCGATTTTCAGAAAGAATAGCCACAGTACAGGTAGTGTAAGGTTTATTTAAAACATTGTATCCAAATCCAGTAGTTACCTAATCTAGATAATGAGCATCTGTATAGCAAAGGATATGTTTATCTATTTGTTTCCTTGTTGAATTTGTCTTTCTTTCCATCTTCTTCACATACACTGAAAGTTATGAGCTTCATCAGCTCAGGGACTGCATCTTGTCTTCGTTGTTACTGTTACTGTTGTTTTGTTTTCCCCCATGCATTGGGAGCATCCAGCACTGCGCCTGGCAGGCATCTGATAATCATTTGTAGAGTGAGTGAATGAACACACGCCTCTGGTGACAGTAGGGGGCTGTGAAACACAGAGGTAGGGCAGGTCCCCCGGAATAGGCAGGTCAGAGAAACGTTCCTGCAGGGGGCAGAGCCCTGATCCAAGTCTGAAAACACCAGCAGGCATTATTCAGGGAGGGGTGTGGGGAAAGGCATTCTCGGCAGAAGGAACAGCATGAGCAAAGGCCCAGAAGCCTGAGACAGAGAGTGCATAGGGGAAAAAAATCAGTAGTTTAAGGGGCTGCCCAGGGCTCCCAGTTTTTGGTGTAACCCAGTGTTTCTCAACTTCCTTTTCATTATTGCCTCCCAAGGAGTCTTTTTAGACATTCTTTTCCTTATTGTTGTCCTCAGGCAATTTTAACACTCTTGATACACTGTATAGTTGTTTATGTTCTGTATGCATATCTGTTTTATGTTATAAAGTCAGGTTTGTTGTTGTTGTTTTTGCCTCTCAACTACCAAATTTTGCCCCCTCGGGGTGATACTGCCCCCTGGAGAATGCATAGGATAACCCACAAGAAAGGCCTCCAGTTCCTGCCCTTCCTCTCCAGCAGGGGGAGTCACCCCCAATCCCTACCATGCCTCCCCACCCCGAACCAGGTCTCTCAGCTGCCGCCTTGGTTCTGATCGATTTTTTTCCAGCCATCATTGAGAAGAAGACCAATGACCTGCTGCTGCTAGAGTCCTACAAGCGGATCCTGGAGATGGAAGGGGCAGAGACTGAGGTCCAGCCGCCATTTGTCAACCCTTTCTGGGGTGGCTCTGCCCTCCTCAAGCCTGCAGAACCCATCAAGGTCGTCCCCCCAGTGTTCGGGGCTGACCCCTTCGGCGACAAGTTGGATGAAGGTGAGTTCTCCTCCTGCGACCTGCGCATGTAGCTAGGAGACCTGTGCTGGCGAGAGACTGCAGGCTAGAGCCTCAGTTTCCCTTTATGAGCCTCGTGGGCCCATGTGTTCCACTGGGTTCCACCGTGGTTGTGGCCCTTGACTGTTTCTCCAGGGGATGCTTCTCCTTAGGGCGCAACGAAGATCCCGGAGTTTAGTGATCCTGGATATATGTTTTTTTAAAGCACTACTTTGTGACCATTTCAAATGAACCTTAAAATGTCCACAGTTAACAAACTGGCAAATTGCAGGCACACGAGGTTCCCTGATCCCATCTGTCCCCCTCACTCTATGCCCCTGAGTCTTACTCCACCCTTGGCCCGCCCCAACCATGCCCCCCAACCTCATGGCTGAAGCAGCTGTGACTTGGCTGGTGACAGAAGCGGATGCCTAACTGTGGCCCCTGGGGCCAGGCTGTTGACCTTCCCGCCTTTCTGGGGCCGAAGCTCAGGACGCTCCCCTTACTGTGGGAAGCAGCCCTTCTCTCTGGAGGTGGGGAGAAAATCGGCCCCACCTGGGTTTTATTTTATTTTATTTTTTTTTAAAGATTTTATTTATTTATTTGAGAGAGAGAATGAGAGAGAGAGCACATGAGAGGGGGGAGGGGCAGAGGCAGAAGCAGGCTCCCCGCCGAGCAGGGAGCCCGATGCGGGACTCGATCCTGAGACTCCAGGATCATGACCTGAGCCGAAGGCAGTCGCTTAACCAACTGAGCCACCCAGGCGCCCCCCCACCTGGGTTTTAGAGGATAGTGTGGTCACAGGTGTGGCAAGCCTGAGACATGGATACACCTGTTAAGCCCATAATCTCACCCTTGCAAACTGGTCCTTCAAGAAACATTTACTCAAGAGTCCAAGATGAAAGTAGGACGATGTTCACTGCAGCCCCAAACTGGAAGTGACTGAAATGCCCACCCATTAGAAACTGGTTACATGATACCCTCTAGTTCCATCCACGCCATTGCAAATGAATTACAGTTCACCCATCCGTGCAATAGGAATACTATGCAGACACGGAAAAGAACGCAATGGGACAGTATAAACTCTCTCTCTCTCACACACAGGGGATATCAATTATATATATAATTGTAATAAATATGGATAATAAGAATATATATACATATATATATATATTCAGTAATTCTCAACCAGGGGTGATTTACCCCTTAGGGGACTTTTGGCAATGTCTGGAGATATTTTTGGTTATCACAACTGGGAGGTGGGAGTTGCTGTTGGCATCTAGTGGCCAGGGATGCTGTTAAAAATCCTACAGTGTACAAGACAGCCCTTGACAACCCTGATGTATAATAGGGAAAGAGAGATATATAACGAGAGAGAGAGAGAGAGAGAGAGAGGAGGAGGAGGAGGAGGAGGAAGGTATCTTGATAATGCATATAAAACAGTTTTATAGGCTGACTTACAGTGGGTACTTCTGGTGGTGATTTACAGAGAACTTTGCATTTCTAAGTTAAACCATTCTCTATTGTTTAAATTTTTCTTTTACAATGATCTTGAGCAGCTTTAGTAATCAGAGAAAACTGGGTTTTTTAAAAAAGTTGTCCCATGGGCGCCTGTGTGGCTCAGCTGGTTAAGCGACTGCCTTCGGCTCAGGATCGAGTCCCACATCAGGCTCCCTGCTCAGCGGGGAGTCTGCTTCTCCCTCTGACCCTCCTCCCTCTCAGGGCTCTCTCTCTCTCTCTCATTCTCTCTCAAATAAATAAATAAAAATCTAAAAAAAAAAAAAGTCCCACTTCCCTAAGTAGCACTTCAGGTGTGCAGGTGTGTCAATGATGGGGGGACTGGGGGAAGCATGCCAACACACATACCCCCCCCCCCACCTTGTTTGATTTAGTCGAGGCAACAGAAACTTAGCAGGAGTGAAACCTGGGTCTGGCATTAGCCGCCTTAGCATAGCTTCCCTTGGCCCTTTGAGTTCCTAAAAGGAAGGTGGCAGAACTTGCAGATGATGTCTTCACTTCCGCTCAAGGGAATGTTGATAATCATTGGGTTCTCTTAGCACTAGTCTCTATGGCTCATATGTATGAATTCGAAGAGGCGCCCCCTCTGGACAGATTGAGAAAAGGGGCCCCTTCTGTGTGGACATGGCTTGGCAATCAAGTAGGGGTTGGATTTCAGCCCATCCATTCACCTGTCCACCAGATGTCTGGGCAGTCTACATCCCGAACGACTGCACATGGTGGCCCTGTCTCCTTGACGTTAAACTAAACTCACCTTCACGTCCTCTTCTGGGAGAAAAAAAACAATTATTGTCTGGGCATCCCTGTGCAGTATCTCTCTACTAATGCTCTTCCTCCCTGAACCTCAAGAATGCTCACCCTCCACTCCCAGCACTGTGAAGGGACCCCAGACCTGGCTTGGACATCCTTGCCTTGGGCATCCACGAACGGGGCAGAGACGCACTGTCCCTGGAAAGGAAGCTGCCTACGCCCACCCCATGCTGGGTTTGACTTCCAAACCCCTCACACAAGTCCTCTCTTTGATACAGTGGAGCAGGCCCTGGACCACAGCAGCCTTCGGCAGCTGGTGCTCAGCAACTATACCGCGAGAGAGTTTCGAAGCAGGGACTTACACTCGGACAGCATACCGGAGAGGGGGGATGATCTGAGGCTCAAGAAGAAGTTAGCGATCTGAGGCAGATGGTGCTGCGTTTGTACCTTAACCAGAGAGAATAAAGGTTTTGTTCCGTAACCCTGGTGCCTCCTCACACTCATTACAAAGAGACTAGACTAGGGTTCTGGTCGCCACCCTGGGATGGGATAGAGAAATTAGGACAGAAGAGCTGAGACAGGAAGCAAGAGTTGTAGGAGGTCACCATGGTTCCTGAAACACCCCCACCCCCGCCCCGAGATTGTGACCAGAACAAACCACTAGTACTTCTGAAATTAGAAATTAACTTCTTATAGTTAACGGATGTGATTTTTTGCTGAGTGAGCCATATTCTTAGAATGAATGTGAGGCCTCTTCCTCTTCATTTCTCATGGGGCCTGTCTAAGCACATCTAAGGGAGAAATATGCCAATGACATCCTAAAGGAGAGGAGGTCATGGAAGCTAGGCTCTGCAGATGCTTGAGCTCTTTGAAGAAAAGGGCTTTGGTCCTCTAGTTAACATTCCAATAAATTGTGGACCTTCATAGAAATAGTCCTGAGTGGCTGTGAAGGTCTATTTCAAATAAGAGTTATTAAAATTCAGTAATAATGGCAGCAGGGACATTACTCGCTCATACTCTGCCTTCAAGGGAACTAGCAAAGGATCTTCCTTATTCAAGGCACTTCTGCCAGAGAAACACCGTGAACAAATACACAACGTCCTGTTTATTTGAACACAGCTTCTGGATGCATTTCCATCTGCGGGGTATGTGGCCGCGTGGTATCTATGTGCCCCTGAGGCTGCAAAGAAGATGGAGGTGGGTAATGAGGCAGCCGCCAGCTAACAGGCACGTAGCAGGGATGGCAGCATTACTGGGCAAAGTGAGAGGAGAGCAGGGACCACCTCCCCACCAAAGGCAAGCCCAGGGTTGGGTGGTGAGCCCCTCTCAGTCCTTCTCTTCCCCGTGGGTGATGATGTGCACCAGGTTCTTATAGTCCAAGTTGCCAGTCACATCAGGGGGGAAGGCGGCGAACATCTGCTCAATCTGCAATGAACCAGCAACGCATACTGAGCGTGACGGGAGGGGAAGCGAGAGGGACCGCTGGGTGTGGGCTTGGTCCCCGTGCAGAGGCAGCAGGGCTGTGGTGGGTGTGGAGACACGACACTCAGGTCCCCCTCCAGGAAGGCCTTGTCGCTCAGCTGCTGCAGAGAGCTGCCAGCCCCAAGGTCATGGCCTTCCTGGGGCAGCCCACAGCCAACTGATCAGTGTGGGGCCCAACTTGGGCCCTCTTAGAAGTTAGTGCTAGCTCTAGGGCTCCCTGGGAGGTGTGGGGGAAGCCAAGACACTCTTTGGGCCTGAACGGAGGTTCAACATCTCCCTCCATGCCTCCCTGCTTCCTTGTCCTTCCTTGCTCTTCCGCAGGTGCTGACCCCATGGGCCATCCGGCAGGGATGTTCCCGGGAATCCAGCCCTATAGTAGCAGGTAAAGCAGGGATCGCAAATGCAGGTGTACAAAGGGGCTAGGCAGACTGTGCAAGGGAGCAAAGGGGGGGGGCCTGTGGCTAAAAGCAGACACACAACCCATCTACAGGGGCAGCAACTGGGCAGAGCCAGCCGAATGTTGTCGAATGGGCTAGGAGGTCACACTTTTTGAGAGAATCTGACTCTTTGAGGGAAATGAGAAATCTAGATTTTTTTTCAACATGCAATTTCCACATTTAAAAAGTATTGACTAGTTATTTTTTAAAATACCTCTTGGCCAATAATAGCTAACACATTGTCCTTATCACATGCTTTAGCACGTTATGCATATTAACTTGTTTAATCCTCACAGCGTACTACCAGGAAAGTTTTATTACCATCCCCACTTTACAGATGAGGAAACTGAGGCACAGTGGGGTTAAAGAGCTTGTCCCAAGTCACCAAGCTGGTAGGAGGTGAAGGCAGGCTCTTTTAAGTGCTTGAGTTTTAAGGGGAAATCTAAATACAATTTTTAGTGAAATGTGAAACCTGATGCCATCAGGCCTGACCAGGAGCTATTTTTAAATATTTCATTAATAACATTGATGGGACTGTTGCTTATTGATACAGGACTTTGGGAGAATTAGCAAAAGTGCCCCCTTTTGCGCCTGCCAGAAAAAGTCATATATACTGCTTTAAGAAAAAATAAAATTACAACAGGACACTTTACTGCCATCTGCTGGAAAACAATTGCAACAAATAGATACTCTGCAATATTATGAGTACAGCATCCAGAAGAATTGCACAGTGCGGAACCTACATGACAGTATGCGGCACCCTGCAAGCTACCCTCACTCCGTCAGGAAACCGGTGCTCTAACCAGGGCTCCGTGCACTGTGAGGAAAGTAGATCTGGAGTCAGACAGACCTGGGTTTGAATCCAGGCCCCAGAGTTGAGCATTGGTGGTGTCCTTTAAGGCAAGTGACTAACTTCCCTGGGCCTCAGTTTCCTCAACTATAAAATGACAATAATACTAGTCCCTACCTGATAGGGTGGTTGAGAGAATGAAATGAGATAGGGGACTCAGTAGCAGGTTCTCTGTCAGTGTGGGGCCAGGGGTATTTTAGGAAAGGGGGTAACACAGGAGCTGGGGTGCAGTGTTGCGTCCAAGGGGCCGTTACCTCCTCTTTGGAAAATCTCTCGGCCTGCGTGGTCAGCATCTCCCGAACGCTGCCAAGAAAGAACAGCAGGTGTTGGCACCAGGTGTGTGTGTGGGAAGCAGGGAACCCCCGTGTCCCCCCCGCACATCCCACTCACTAATCAGCCTTGAGCACCCCTTTGCCTTCGGGGTCAAACACTTTGAATGCGTTGAGAATGGTCTCCTCGGGGTCTGACCCTGAAACAGAAAACAGGGTTGAACATGCCCTGGGTGGCCGAGAACCCATGGTACTCCAGGAGGCAGGGCCCAACTCCCTCCAAAGATGGAAGGGCCAAAGCCAGGCTGTTTTGCTTGGAGGAAAGGCCCTGCCTTCCTCTGAGCACTGAACCTTGGTAATTGCAAAGAGTGGGCTACGAATCCAGTCATTTCTGAGCAAACCTAAGCTCAAACATGGATCTAGATTTAGAAAGACTGGGATTCGAATCCTGACTCCAGCATTTGCTAGCTGTGTGGCCATAGACAAGGGGCTTTCCATCTCTGAGCCTTAGACCAGGGATAAGAAGAGAACCTACCTCCTAGATACTAAACGAGGTAATGCATCCAAAGTGCGTGGCATGAGGTCTGGCTCAGGGTGAGCCTTGGAGCAATGGGAGCTGCTGCTTTCCCCCCCGCCCCCAGTGTTACTCTGCCTTCATCTTCTGCCAACCCTTGTCTGCCCTCCTGGTGCTTTAATTCATGCCCAAAGATGAAGACACGTAAAGATACACACGCACAAATGCACACACACATACACAAATATACACATACGGACCTACACATGAACTTACCCTTAAGTTTCTCCCCAAACATCGTTAGGAACACAGTAAAGTTAATTGGACCTGGAGCTTCCTTGAGCATTTCATCAATTTCCTCATTTTTCACGTTCACACGCCCTAGGGCAGGAAACACACAGTCAGGGCCCCCCGGGCTGGGCCGGAAACAGCTGTCAGGACCCTGGCATTTGCCCTCGTAATTCCACTCGAGGGAATCTAGTCTAGGGACAATCAGAGATGCCAGATTCACTGGAAAAGATGTTCTCCACAGTGTTATTTATGATAGCCAGACAGCCGGAAACAACCCAAACATCCAACGGGGAGAGGGGCTAGCTACTTTTATAATGGTGTCTTCAGAACCTGGAACATTTTAAGCAGATCTTTTAACTTTTTACTTAAATGAGAAATGCTCCTATTATAAACTATCCCTCTCAGTTGGAGGTGGGAGAGACAGATCAGAATCACCTGAGGGAACTTTGTCAGATTATATCTGCTGTAACCCACACAACCTCGGAGGTTCTGATATACCTGGATTATAGCCTCTGCCACAAGCCCACATTGCACCTTTGTGCAAATTTTTAAAAGCCACCCCTTCTGAAGAGAATTTATGTTTTAAATATAAAAACCTACGGTGACTACAGACATGAATAGTAATCTGGAAAATGGTGTAGTGCACAACCTGCAAGCTGTTCCTGGTAGCCCTGAGTTCTGAGAGCGGGAGTGGAGGGGGGGGTGAGTGGTGGCAGGTTGGACACATATATTTTGAAAAAGCTCCATACACTCGTGCTCACACTGTTGAGATGCTAAATTTAAAAAGGTGAATCCAAAATAGAATGATTCCAATCTTAAAACAACCACCACAACAAAAAACTCACAAAAAACCAGATGTATCTAGAAAAGATTTGGAGGCTGAAACGCGACAGTGGAATGTGACCTAATGGTTAAGTTTTCTTCTTTATACTTTTCTGAATTTTGCAAATTTTCTATTGTGAGCTGGCATTGCATTCAAAATCACAGAAAAAAATTTATTTTAAAAGAAAAATGAAAGATATGTGAGGACACTGAAAGCCTAAACACTTTGCTGTCTTCCGAAGTTTGTCTTAAAGGCCAACCATGATTGAGCCGTTTCTTGAAAAATGACAAGCTCTTGACCTTTTCAGTAGTCCCACCTTCTGCCCCTCAGGCGAGTGGGATAAGGAGACCCTCCTGCACGCCTAGCGGGGGCGGGGGAAGACATACCAAGAGCAGCAAAGGTGTCCCTCAAATCATTCTTGTCGATGAAGCCATCCCTGTTCTGATCCATGATGGTGAAGGCCTGTGGAAGGGGGCGGTCAGCTGGTCAGCCCAGGAGAAGTTGGGTGGAGGAGCCCAAGAGATTGGGCTATGGACTGGGGGAAATGGGATTCTGGGATTCAGGGAGCACTGAAGGACATGTGATCAAGAATCAAAAATCGGAAATGTCTGGCCGTTCCTCAAAACGTTATGCACAGAGTTCCCATGGGATCCAACGATTCCACTGCTAGGCGTCTACCCAAGAGAATTGAAAACATCTGTCCCCACGGAAACCTGTGCCTGAGCATCCATAGCAGCTTTATTTACAATAGCCCCAACCTGGAAACGGCCCATATGTCCATCAACTGATGGATGGATCCACCAAATGTGGTCTAGCCACGTAACAGACCACTACCGAGCAAGAAGGAAGGAGATCCTGACACCAGCTACAACACAGATGAGCCCTGACTCAGGACACTGAGTGGAAGAAGCTGGGGCAAAAGGCCACGTGCTGTATGATGCATTTCTATGAAATGCCCAGAGCAGGCAAATCCATGGGGACAGAAGATAGATGGGCGGTGGCCAGAGGCTGGGAGCGGGAGAGAGCGGCTGCTAATGGCCCTGCAGTTTCCTTCTGGGGTGAGGAGAATGTCTGGAATGACTGGTTATGGCTGCACAACTCCGTGACTTCAGTAAATAACCACCAAATTGTGCACGCGGCTGACAAAGGTGAACTTAGGGTTGTGTGAATTACATATCTATGAAGTTGTTATTTAAAAAATCAAGTTAATACCTGGGGTCTCATTCCCCACCCCCACCTCACCACCAAAGCCGTTATCTATAAAATGGGGCTGGTAATGTTGCCCAGGGGGCGCCCATGAAGGCTCCCAAGAGCCTTGTAAATGCCCTGGTCATTTTACAAATGACTTATCATCTCCGTGTTTTTTTTGAG